GATCAACAAGCTTTGCCACGAATTTAAGAGTTTTATCAAGATATATCGAATACTTCTACCCATCTGTTCATTTTATGGACTGATGTTCCAAGTTTGTATCATTCCTTTGCATATAATTAAACCTGGAACAACATGCACTAGATTTATGTAAGAAATATCTGTTGGTTTTCCAAAGGTTGTTAACAGATGAAGTTTATGTGCAAAAAAGGGTAAGATATAAATTCAAGGAAGAAAAAAGTTGATAGCTAAAAGGTAGAGTGTGTCTTCGATATAATCCAATTTGTTTTATGTCAAAATGTAAGTATTTGTCTTCCCTAGAAATCCTCAGAATGATTTCTATAATAAAGTTAATTTCATTTATATTTGACAAGAATACTCTATAGATGTTTTATACACATTTTCATGCAATCATACGTTTCTTTTTTGGCCAGCAAAAGTTAATTGTTCTTAGATATAGTTGTATTACTGTTCACAGTCCAATCATTTTGTGCATCTAGAATTCATTCCTAATCAATTAAAAGTGCTTGCAAGAGTTTTAAACTTAAGTGTTTTGAAGTTGTTCACAACTACATATCAAAATTAACCATTGTTGATTGTAAAAACCATGCCAAAGCCTTTGTATTTCCTTTATTATACTATTTTCTTTCTAACCTTATAGTGTGGTGTTACAAATTTTGTTTCCATGTTAGATTAACATTCTAAATCTTTAAAGAAATAATTCTTACAGATATCATAAATCAAAAATGTGTTAGAAAAAAATTCCACTTAAAGCTGTGTAGATCTGTGCCCATTTATACGCACAACATATATACAAAATGGTAACATTTCCCAGCTAGCCATTTAATTCAAAAGCTCAAAGTCCAGAAATAATTTAAAAATGCAACAAGCTATTAACTAGGAATTGTTTTCTGAATTAGGGCTGGCATTTTCAATCTGGGCAGATTTCCATTGTCAGCCTATTTCAACAATGATTTCACTGAAGTATATTCAAAAGTAGATTTCTTAAACGAGACTCTCTGAAAGCTGTTGCCTTTCTCAAATAGGCCCTCTCCCTTTTCTGTCTCCCTCCCCTTTGCACAAGAGGCATCATTTCCCATTGAACCACTACAGCTGTTCCCATTTGAATCTTGCTTTCTGTGCGGTTGTGGATGGTTGGAGGGTGGAAGGGGGGATGTTGCATGTCAAGGAATAATGAGCACAGACACATCAACAGACAACAACAAAGCGGACTGTGACTGGCCGGTGGGAGTTAAAGGCCTTCAGTCATTGGCAGCTTAAGCCAAACATTCCCAAATCTATGAAGCAGGGCCCATTGTTGGTCAGTTGTTATTTGCAGTGAAGCACAGATCTGATCATGTTTAAAGTGGCGGCACGCAGGGCAGGAGTGCTTGAGCCCAAGCAAAGGATGGAAAAAAAATAAGCCTTTGTTGGGTAAAAAAGGCCCGTCTGAGACTTTTATTTGTCCGTCTGTGCAACATATAAGTCAATATAGATAAGTTTTCTTCTGCAAACTAAAAGTAAACAGCCTGGGGGTTCTGGCAGTCTGGATTAAAATGCTTGCACATGCAGAAACCTCTGGGGACAAAGAGACGCTTCCACTGAATTGGACCCTGCTTGTTTATTTTTTTAATCCCCGAAGGCAAAGGATCAGAAATATAGAAATTAATTGGAGCATTTAACATAACCTTCTAGTTCAACATCCACTGTTTTTTTTTTTTAGTTAAGGAATTACTTGTGAACAGGTAATTGAGATTTATCGCTGTGGCGTTCAATATACCAATAATTTTATTTCACCAGAGTTGCTGCACATTTAGAGACATCTTTCTAAGTCGACTGCAATTTTTGTACATGTGCATGTAGTTTTAGTCAATGTCAGTCTGCACTGCACAGTGGCACACTTCTGCAGGGGAGTGTGCACACACATACACTGTTGGTACAACGGCCTGTGCAGACATTTCTACCTCCTGACATTTTGCAGCCTACATTTCCTGAGGGACGTGTACTGAGGAAACTGTCAGAGAAGGGCTATGTGGGATTGTGTGCTGCAGCTGCTGGCTGGCTTGCTTCTTCCCCGCAAGAAGGGACAGTTTCCAAATGGCTATGCTTTGGGCTTGGGTCAGGCAGCCAATCCTGGACTACAGCTCTGTTGCGTAGAGAGCAGAGACTTTGGAGACCTGGGTGTGGCACGCTAGGTGCAAGAGCTGGGAATGGGAGAAGGGAGTGATGTGACAGCTGAGGGCTTGTATGTGTGCACTTGGGCACGTATGCATGTCCTCTGCGTCAGGATTGCCAGGGCCGCGTGGCATAGCCAGGTTTAGTCTGGAGAAGCGGCTGCTCAGCTGCAGAAGCCCTCTGGTCCAGCAGGACAGGAACGGCTGCTTTGCCTTCTGCCCACACCCTAGGGACATGAGCTGTCCTTCTCAACAGAGCTCCAGGCACTCTCTTGGGAACTGCATGGCAGGCGCTGTGTGGTAGCAGTGCCTGGGAGTTGGCCTTTTACTCATTGTTGAAATAATTTATTTTTATTTATGTACTGATAGGTGTACTTATATATTTATCAATGGGGAATCTGCAGGGATATTTTGATGCCACCTTCCAGGATGGAGACTATTTGTGTGGTCCTCAGTAGAATCACAGGACTAACAGCCTAAAATTATTCTCCAAATTTGACTGACTTAGGGAAACCAGGTGAACAGAATTAGAGCTGAATGTTTAAGTAATAAACATTCAAATTACTCTAAGTAAAAAATGCTTTTTACTGCAACGAATTTCCAGAATATTTTCCCCTCAAAGCTGTGCCTCTGAATTCTTAAATGGTAAACAACTGGTTTCTTGATGTGGCTCACATAACCATTTCCTCCTAATTTTTATCATAACTAGATTTCCTAAGATTCATTTACACAGTATTATTTTAAGATTCAGCTTTGTTTTATGAATGTTTGTCATTTTAGGATTCTGTCTATATTCTTCTGCTCATTTTTTTTTTTTTGCTCTGGCCTTTATTACTAACAAGATTAAAAAAAAAAAAAAAAAAAAGGCTTTTCTTCTCTGTATGTTTGGCTCGCCAAAGCCAAACATATTTTCTTCTCTTTTCTTTTTCTCAAGACTAAACCTCATCTATTTTTTGGCCTTGGTCCTGAATGACTTAACTGCTCAGTTTTAAAGTTCAAGGTGTAAGTACTTAGGGTTAGTATTATTTAATTTCAATACCGTTGATGGTGACTATCTTTGGAAAGCAGTGACATGATGTCTTAGAAATGACATTAATAATGAGCTTAAACAAATGAACAGCGGTCTGTCTCCCCATTCTCCGTTTGTATGCGTATGTGTGTGTGTCTAGTGTTAGTATTTAAAGATCCTGGAGGTGGAGACAAAGAATAAATGGAAGAAAGAAAAAAGTGGACGTTGTCTGATGACTACTAAAAAGAAATTCAGAAGGTCTTAGAATCCTAGCACCTGAGCAGACTGCAGTAGTCAAAATATTTACCTCATGCTAAGGAAAGACAAATCTAGTGTAAGAAATGAATACCCTGTAGGGTTTTGAAATTCATGTACTAGAAACATGTGAAAGATATGAGGACGTTCCAGATACTATGTTTGGCATTGTTTTTAAGTATTTGTATCTTTGAGTCAAGTTGATAAATGAAAAAAGTCTGTTACTAGAGTGTATATTTCATAATGTATCACAATGGTGTCTATACCTACAGTACCATTATTGGACACCAATATTTTTATGTAGTAAGTTATTAGCACAATGGATAACAAATAGTGCTTTCAGAAGGAAGGAAAACACATTTTTAGAGTGGGTTTTTATCACAGGAAAACAAAACTATACATCCCTCTCCAGTAGCTTATTTTTACAAAGCCTGCCCAGTGAATCAGAAAAACAAAGCACTTGGATCTGATTTTTGGAAAGCCCAGGTACTCTTATTGTTCAAAATGCACTTTTACTGAGTTTGAAAAGTTTCTTTTATATTTAAAATAAGGGTTCAAATATGCACATTCAATTTTTATAGTATTTATCTATTTGCAAAGCATATATTAACTAGTAATTGGCTGTTAATTTTATAGACATGGTAGCCAGGGAAGTAAATCAATGACCTATTAAGTATTTTGACAAGCAATTTACATATCTGATGACCTCACATCTCCTTTTCAGAGTCAAATGCTATGTAATTGTTCCGTTGTGTGTTTGTATAAAATGAATCACAACACGGTAAGAAAAAGGTTAGAGTTATTAAAATAATAACCTGACTAAAATATTCATTTGAATTTATTCAGATTGTTCATAATGCTTTCAAAGGACATATCAAAGCTTTTGTGGAGTATCTATCTGCACAACATTATTTATTATCTATGGACTACATCGATTTTTTTGAAGTTGCTTTAAATTTTAAAAGCACCTTTGCTTAATAAAAAAGCCCTTTAATTTTAACTGACAGATCAATTCTGAAACTTTATTTTGAAAAGAAAATGGGGAAGAATTTGTGTCTTTAGAATTAAAAGAAAAGAAAAAAATAAACCAGACATTCTAAAAAAAATAGAAGAAGAAACCTGATTTTTAGTACTAATGAAATAGCGGGTGACAAAATAGTTGTCTTTTTGATTTTGATCACAAAAAATAAACTGGTAGTGACAGGATATGATGGAGAGATTTGACATCCTGGCAAATCACTGTCATTGATTCAATTATTCTAATTCTGAATAAAAGCTGTATACAGTATGTGTTTATGCTACAGTGGGTTTTTTTTTTAAGTGACTGACATTCATCATATTGGGTAGACGGTTTTAAAAACCTAGTCTTTGTTTTCTACAATGTTGTCAAGAACAAATAAAGTATAATTTGTGGTATATTAAAAGCAAACTGCTTAAAAAATGCTAGTTATAACTGCTTGAAAATATTCTAAGATATTTAAAAATGTATTTTGGAAATTCAGTTTCTCCCAATGGATTTTTAAATATCTTTTTAAAAATTGAGTCTCTTTACTTAAATATGCAAGTTACTTTTTAATTTTCACTTTTTATCTATTATTTGTTAAAAGCTTTGAGTATATGGAACTATGATTTAAAAATCTGGTGTTTCACATGAAAACTGGTTCACTATGCTATACACCCCAAAACACATGTTTATATGGTTAGAAATTTACATACTCAACCAATGTTCATAATTAACAAAAGGTTTACGTGATACAGTGGAAATCTGAGTTACTTTCATTTTTCTACTTTGTCTCAGACCTATGTTCTGTAAGAATCTCTCACCAAGCTTCAGTATATGTTTTTCCCCTGGTATCCCAGCATTAATGTAGCTGTCAGTTTGAATTTCAATCCTGAATTACGTCTGTTGACATAATTTCATAGTGCTGACTTCAATTGTTTAGGATTACTAAACTGAAGACCATCAACTTCTTTTTTCTATTCTTTCTATCACTCAAGTTCTTTATATTTATTAACTACTATGGCAGAGTAATTATCTTTAATAGAACCTAAATCCCCAAATATTATTTTGTCTTCATCAATTTAATAACAGTATACATAAATGCAAATTTATTTTATGTATTAGCAAACACATTTTCATTTAAAAAAAAAAAACCTTAGCATTTTTGGTGCCAAGTGCCTTTTTCTGAAATAAAGAGAAAATATATTTTCGTATACGATCTTGAATTTCACAATGTTTTATATGCTACCTGCTCTAATATGTACCCATGATACTAAGTGCCTTAGTACACGTAACGATGACTGTAATGCATCTGGAGATTTTGACCCTTTTTTTGCATTTATTGAAAAATAAAATTATTTTCTCCAAATATGCCATCAGGCAAAATTTTAAAATAAAAGTATTTATGCTGTAGTATTTCTGTATAAAAAGTTGGTTGAAAAAATGAAGAATGGTGGCCCCATTTTTCAATCCTGTGTTTTTCAAGAATTGGAGGGTCAAATTGTTAAGAAAAATATTTACATAAGCTATTAGCAATCATAATTAGAGTGTCATATAATTCTGCATGCAACGACTAAGGAGAAATCCCTAGAAATCCAGGTGCTTCTTGCCTCCGGCCATCATGCCACAGCCTGGGCCCAGCCGCTTGGCGGATTCTGCCAGATCCTGTTTGCTTGAGCGGCTCACCGTGTCTGACAAGTCTGGAGGCAAATGCAGTCGCTATGGCAGAAGATTTCAGGGGAAGAAAAAAAGAAGAAAAAATTAATTTTGCTTTTGCTAGCATACTTCGGAATATAATATTATGCTCTGTTGATCAGCATTTAATCTTGCATATAAAATTCCTGCTAAAACAATTCTTCAGATTGAAGCCCAATATAATCACCTCCTATTCCTACTAGATTTTGCAAATTATAGCCATTGCAGAAACTGTACTAGGAATCTTGGTGGAATATTTTCAATGTCCAAACCAAAGCATATTAAGATTTTTTCTTCTTTAGGTAGAAATGAAAACATGTAAATAAATGCACAAATGAAAGCATAATTAGAAAATGTCACATAAATAATGTCAGGGTTTTTTTTTTTTGGCTTTGTCTTGTTTTTGTCAGAGTTCTAAAATGCAATTTTTAAAAATCGAATATAGCTTTTCAGCATTTATGGATTCCTACAAATGCTTGTTTCCCTCTGTCTACAAGTTGACCTGCTGATTCTATTTCAAGGCTTAACTTTCTCTAGGAGCTTAGAATTTTCACAGAAATATGGACATAATAAAAAAAAATGGTACCAATCAAAGGTCAATATTTTTCATATGTTCAGGTAAGTCAGCTATAACATCTGTTAAAGGTCTTGGTAAGTTTGTTTCTATGCAATAATGTTGGGTCATGTTTTCAAAAGTATAAAGTGGCTTTGAACTCTACCCCCCAGCCCGACTGTTTTCTTGCAGATACAGGCTGATTTAAGCAGACCCAGTAGCTGACCGTAATTACAACAGTTACCGTAATGAGGGAGAAATATTCATATTTCAAAATAATTTTTCTGTTTTCAAAAGGATCTCCATCAAATTCCTTTAATTATCAGTGTTTCTAGATCACATGATTTGGTTCATAAAAATTCTAACTTAAAGGAACATATCTGGTATGGGTGTGGGAAGCTAAGGTGAGGCAGGATGGGGCTCTCCAGTGATGACTAAACAGAGCCTTCCAGAGATGAACTCAACTGGAGACAACCTAGCTGAAACCCTTCATTTGGAAAACTTCCTTCAATATGGAAAAAAACGAAAAAAGATAAAGAGTAGAATTGTTTTTTTTTTAAATATTGTGGTCCATACACATATGTTTCAGTTAGTTTCTTTTCTGAGAAAAGGCTTGTTTATTGTCATGTAAATACAAGCTGTGTGCAAATGATCAAAATATTTTAAACCAGTTAAAATAATGTGAAAATATTCTGTGATTTCAGTTTGCCTGTAATTATTTATCACAAATATACCTAGGATGAAAGACACTATTATACAGATGCACAATCAACAGAGATGTTAGAAATGTCAAGAAGGTCAAGAACTTGTAATATTCATATAGCAATATTCATACAGATCTATTCATTAGCATCCTTAGCACCTACCTATCATTAAGTAATTAAATGTCTATTTTTTAAATGACAAAAAAGCATAAATAAAGACATTCTTTCTTTGTTTTAAACAATTCTTTCATTTCTTTATGCTCTAGTTTGTTCTAGAAAGGACTGTAGGCAGAAATGAAAGCATAAAAGGCTCAATAATCTAAAGGGCAGGCATGACTGAAGTCTGCAGTTACAGATGTCTTTGTAGGGTTACCGTTATTAGTGTCCACGTGAGGAAGCAGGAAGCAAAGAGGGCCTGAATTATAACGTCTGAGTTTTAATGTTTAAGATCTTATAGTGCCGGGCGCGGTGGCTCACGCCTGTAATCCTAGCACTCTGGGAGGCCGAGGCGGGCGGATTGTTTGAGCTCAGGAGTTCGAAACCAGCCTGAACAAGAGCGAGACCCCGTCTCTACTAAAAATAGAAAGAAATTAATCGGCCAACTAAAAATATTTAGAAAAATGCCTGTAATCCCAGCTACTCGGGAGGCTGAGGCAGTAGGATCACTTGAGCCCAGGAGTTGGAGGTTGCTGTGAGCTAGGCTGACGCCACGGCACTCACTCTAGCCCGGGCAAAAGAGTGAGACTCTGTCTCAAAAAAAAAAAAAAAGATCTTGTAGTTATTGCTAATGAGTGAAGGAAAAATGACTAGGATACATGCATATTCTGAAGGTTATTCTGAAACTTGAAGAAAATTACCATAAAGAAATATATGTGTGTGTGTGTGTGCATGTGTTTATGTGTGTACACTTTTGGTTGGTATCTCACAGATGATGTCACAGATGGTGATTAGGCTGTTTAGGAAATCAGCTGGAGTCAACAAATATTTAGAATCCACTCATAGCAAGGCATTCTGGAAGGGTACGTGAACAGAGCACCTTCTACACTCCTCGTTTCCTAACAATCCAGTAACACAAATAAGCTAAGCACACAGGCAATCCTCATAGCGAACACTCTTTAAGTTATGTATACTAGAAAGGCAGAGACAAATCAGAAATCACGGTGGGGGAAGGGGAACAGGAAAAAGGCTCATGGGGATAGGATCTGAACTAGGTCTTAAGTAATGAATTGGATTCTGACATGTAGAATGGGGATTTGCTTAAACAGCAGAACAAATATACCTTCAAGATTACAGGATACATTTGGTTGAAGGGTTATAATCTACATGAGGAAACTGTGTGGTTTATTCAGAACTAGTATGATACAATTTATTTCGGGAGGTTACCTATTTGCTTGTTGACTGGCTAAGCATTTCTCTTTCTCTGCTTTTCTAGGCAATGAATGTGAGCCAGTTGGCTGAATGCCCTTCATAGCAAAAGTAGCTAAATGTGACATGTGACATGCTTGGAAATCTTTCAGGTCGAATGGCTTTGAAGTAAAGTCAAATATCATTTGTGTGCAACTTATGAGCATAAAAAAATTGGGGTGATATGATTAACTGCTTTTTACCAAATGCTACATTATAAAGCTAGTGGTATACTCCTTTGTATGTCCTTTGAAAATGTCCAAGGATGGCTCTTGGAAATAGGTGACTCTACGTGTGACTGTGTCTGCTTTTGTTGATTATTACTTGAGCTTACTATGGAGTCTAAATTCTCAAGCAGTGGGTTTTGTTTTCTTTCTTTCTGAGCCTCCCCCTGTGCACCATGTCAGTGCGATGTGAAGCAGCGAGGAAGAACGAGAGATCAGGTTCCAGGCTTGCCAGGTGTGTCAGGGATTTTTCCTTTGAGGCTTCCAAAGCATTTACACACTTGACATATAAATGTTCAGATGCTGCTGTACCCCAGATCTGTCTTCTGAAAAAATATGCTGCAAGATACTCTGTATAATGTGGTGACCTCCTTTGGACTAAAACTGCAAGGCTGTGGGGTAGGTATATAAACTTTTAAACATTGAGGTTTCACTGAGTAATGTCTTAAATAAAAATCAGACTATAAAAAAACTACTTTATTCTCAACCATGTAAATCAAATTAAGGTGTTCATCTTTCTCATCTTATACCTGGAGATCTGGGGCAAGGGCCAGAACCAAAACTGTATCTTACATCTTGAGTTGAATTTTTTTCCACTTGATTTTCTTTTCTCAGATTCTGGGAGAAAGAGACTGTGTTGCTGGTGCAGGAGATGGATATCTGGCTGGGTGGCTGCCTATTTTTTCCCTTAATGCCTTGTCTAAAATGATGATTTCTATGTAGGCAAAAGGATCTGGGAAAGGTGTGGCACCTCCCAAGTTTCCCGCACAGGCCTGGGAATCCCACTGGATCAATGGTTCCCTTTTCCCCAGTGCTGCAAGGAGGGCAACAGTGAGGCTAGCAAAATACTCTGGCAGATTAGGGGGCCTCCTGCCAAAAGGAACCCTTGGCCCATACGAAGCCCAGGGTCATAACAAAGCAGCAGCAGCAGAAGTGATTCGCTCCAAGGGGTACCAAGGAGAACCAGACTTTGAGACTCTTTCTCCACCACCTGCCTCCAGGTCTCTTTGTTGGGCCTGGCCGCTGTCTATATTTTGTTCCTTCTGAGTCAGTGACCAAACTGATCCTATAGACACATAGGATTGGATTTCCTGGCTCAACAGTTCCCTTCCTAATTCCTTTTCTCCTAGCCTGCCAGACCTGTGCTCAGCACTCACAGTTCCCAGACAGAAGGGGCAAGATAATGAATCTAGATTACACCTGGATTTGAGACAAATTGCAGGTAAATACCCATTAAAATAAGTTAAATCAATTTATATTTTTCATATTTTGCCAAGGCCAAACCACCAGGCACTGTTTGTTTTCTGAAAACAGTTGATGTATATTTTAACCCTTAGTAGAGGAATGGAGATTTGTTTTAATCCATTTAAAAATTTCTGACATTTCCTGAAAAGTCACACTTTGCATTGCTCGGGATCACAGAAATAGGCACTTCAGAATACTTCTAATATATTTTTTCATTTGAAAAAAAAAAAAAACAGAAAATTTAAATGAAAGCTTGTAAACACCTTAGAACACACAGGCTCTACGTTGGTCCCTCAACACAGGCAGCCAGGCTTGCTGACAGGAGCACTGGACATGGAGGCAGAGAGTAACAGTTTGATACCTGCTTCTGCCACTCACTCTCAGTGTGACCTCAGACAGGCCAATTCACCTAAGTCTCTATGTCCTCATCTACCACAGGGGAATAATTCTCCCCTCACAAGACTGTTGTCAGCATCACATGAGATGTGTAAGCATTTTGTGGAGTATCAAGTACTACGCTTATTCATACCTCTTCTTATTCCAAAAAAGAATTTGAGATGGCTCATAAAAATACATATGGTACAACAAAATAAATACAAGTGAGTTTATTAGGGCAAGGAAATGACTCTACAAATATAATGAACTATACATAATTATAAATGATAGCAACAGAGTATTAGACTTGGCCACCAGGTCTCAGCCTATCCAGCATCTGAGTATTTATAATGCATTATTCTCTAATGAGGTAATGTAAAGAAATACAAAGGAAATTGCAATTATAGTCTCTGCTTCTGAGATTTAAAAAGTCTAAATAATTTCCCTCATGCTTAGTAAGGCAAGAGTGAAAATGGGGCATGTCAGATGCCTGGCTTTTGAGCCAGTGTGTGTGTGTGT